TCTGCCCCCAGACGCCACGCCACCTCCCTTGCACGGGGCCAGGACAGAGCCACTCTGCGGGCGCCGCATTTTCAGAAGCGGGGGCAGTGACAGGTCCCTGGCTGCGTGGACAGTCCAGAGAGAGGTGGGGGATTCTGCTGGCAGCAGCGTGCCCTGGCAGCAACCAAGGAGTTGGGCTCGCACCAGCTGGACAGGCACAGTCTGGACGAGTGTCCATCCCAGTCTTAGTCGTTCTCGCTCTGCAAGGGAGAAAGAGCAGAGCAGTGGTGAGGTGCCAGGGGCTGGGCTGGGGGGCATACAGCCCATCTCCGTGCGCCTGGCGCCACTGGAGAAGTCTTCCTGTGCCAGCACAGCCCTGCCACGCCACCTCACCTCCATTTTGCTGTATATCCAGCTGAGGAGCTTTGTCACACGTGTGTAAACACCGGGCTTGTTCTTCTGGCCACATCCTGTCCCCCAGCTCGTCACTCCGGCCACATACCAGCGGCCATTGTCCTCACAGACCAGGGGCCCTCCGCTGTCACCCTGGCACAGAGGGGCAGAGCAGTGAGGAGAGGAGACAGGACGTGTTCCTGTGCCATACGCAGCCAGTGGACACCACTGTGCCGGAAAAGCAAGCAGCCCTGCCAGTCCTGTGCCAGCTCGCTGGCGGGGACCGCATGCCCCCGGCTCACCTGGCACGCATCTTTCCCTCCCTGCAGGTACCCAGCGCACATCATCCGTGGCGTCAGGTAGCCCTCGTACACCTTGTCGCTGTTGCAGATCTTGTAGTCAATCAGCTTCACCTCGGCCTCCCGCAGCTTCGGGGACGTGTTATCTGCAAGGCAGGAGGAGCCGTGGGGCAGGGTGGGCCTCGTCCCCCACCGCCCCCCAGACCCTCCGCAGCACCGGGTGTTTCCGCAGCACCGGGGGAGGAAGCTGCTGTTTCTTGCAGGCTTTATTTCTGCGGAGCCACACAGCTGGGAGGGCAACCACTGCGAGTCACCCCTGCGGGAAACAGCCCTCGAATACTCAGCAGAGCCACACTCGCTCCTCTCAAGCGCTGCGTTTGCAGGTCAGGCTGCAGAGAGCCAGCGTCCTCCCTCACCTTCGTTCTCCCTGGTCTTCCCAAAGCCGGTGATGAAGCAGGACCTGCCAGTCTGGAACCGCTGGCCGTACATGGGGAGGCAGGCTGGGCGAACCTGGGCTGGAGGGACACATGATGAAAACCAGGCGAGGAGAGAGGGATGAGTCACCCAAGAGCAAAACAGCTGCTGTAGTCACCAGCCCTGTGGCTAGGGAGGAGCGGGGTGCGCAGGGAACTCCCCCCTGCGCCCACCCAACCAGGGTCTCTGCCGGCCCCCGCTGCACTGCACATGTGGGGCACAGCCAGCTGCCCGATGCCGCGGCACAGCCCAGCCCACGGCTGCCTGTGCGCCGGGCCCTGCCCGGGGGGGCCGGGGCGGGTCCAAAAAAGACGGGCGGGGCAAAGCAGTATGGCCGCGGCAGAGCGGGATGCTCCAGCTGGCAGCAGCCTCGTGCAGCCCGGGGTATGGCTCCGAGGGGCCCCAAGCCGCCTCTCGCTCCTGTCCATCCCCAAGGCTCTCCCTGTCCCCTGAACACCAGCCCCAGCCCAGCCCTGTGGCACAGCTTGCTGAGAGACCTCACCTGAGAGCGTCAGCGGCCTGGAGAGCTTCATGAGAGCGATGTCGTAGTCATCGTGATCGTCGCTGTAGTTGGAGTTGATGATGACCTGGGAGACGGGGATGCCCTCTGCGTGCTGCTTCAGGTCCGAGACCCCGCCATACACCTTCCAGTCATCGAGGATCTTCATGCTGTTCCTGGGCAAGGAGCGATGGAGGCAGCAAGGAGTGAGTCACGGGGCGCAGGGCTGGGCCGAGCTGCCGGCCGCGGCT